TGAGATGGCCTGTAGGGGTGTGCATTGCCAAGCCCAACAGAAGGGCCCTGACTGAGGTTAGGACTTGGGTGTTAGACCTAACAGGGAATCTGAAGCACTGTTAAGTAGTTTGAAGCTTCAGGTAGATTCTGTTCTTGGTGTGTTTAATGCTATAACTAGTTACACTGTGCTAGTTGTATACCCCTGTGCTCCATTTTGTGTCTGTTTGAGATTTCTTGTCCCTAAAGACTCCAACCTGCATGACAAGATAAGGAGATACCTGCTGAGCAGGTGTTGTGTGAACAGTTTCTGCTGTGTAAAAGCTGCATTATTCTTCATGTTCTGTCTCAGTGCCTGATGGCCATAGGGCAGTTGGATAGGAGCAGACTTAAACATGTTCTCAGGGCTTTTAGTGTTCTCCTTCTGGTTGCTTCCTCCTTAGTTTCATTACTTCCTCCCATCATCTTATGACAGCCCATATGGTATTTTTTGGGTGTACTGGGCACTGTCACTGGTGGGCCACACAGAAATATTGCAGCTGCTTCATGGCGAGCATTCCTACTAACCCTGCCTTGCTGTGCTGCTCTTGGGCAGGAGAAATTCAGAATCTTACTTAGGGCTTCTCTTTGAGGTATTGTCTGCATGTGTTGTGCTGAAAACAATCTGTTCCATGAACCCAAGAAGCAGAGAACAGTGCTGTGACTGGAGTGTAGCTGGGGAAGACAGGTGGAGGCACAGACGTGCTCCCAGAGCAAAATACCTGTTCTAATAAAATGTTTTTTATTGCTTTACTTGTAACATCTCTACTAAGGACATGCAGAGATGGTTTTTCAGAAGGTGGTGTTGTTGCAATTAAAGTTTCATTCCACATTGCTTTTAACTTACAGGCCAAAGCTTTAAGCATAAAAAGTGATGATTGTTTTGCTTCATGTTAAATTAGAGACCAAAAGCGGAGAAGAGACCCCTTTAGGTCTTTCACAGTTGCTGTGCTGTGACAGCATAAGACAAATGGCCTTGTCTAAAGCACTAGGCTTTGACAAAATTGGCTGTTGATTAACTTTTAAGTCTTTCCAAAGTTTTGCTCCACTCCCATGTGGGCGTCAAACCAGGACAGATGTCACATGAGCAATAAATACCAGTGAATACCGAAATGTTCTTGTAACTTCCAGGCTGTATGGACATTTCATTATGGGCTTTAATGTTGTAACCTTCTACAGGGGTGAAGGCAGGAGAGAGAAGAGCTGGTGACTGATGAAAAGGAGCAGCACAGTGAACTGTAATATTGTAGGAGCTCAGTCTGGCCCAGACAGCTGAGGCATATTTTAAGTGAGAGTATCTTCTGAATGGTGTGGGACTCATATAGCTGAAGACCCATCTCTTTAGCCCATCTGAGACTTGATTCTGTTGACCACCTGAGAGCAGGGGAGTACACCAGAAGCTGGGACAGCTGTTTATAGTACTGTAGAACACTGGCCTTGGAAGTGGGAAGAGTTCCAGGGGAGCAGTTTCAGCAGGCTCTTACCTGTGGTTTAGAAGCAAAGGCTCTGGGCTGTTGCATGCAGAAGAATGTCTCTCCATACTACTTGTTACAATTAGACACTCATGAGCTGCTCACAGCATGCTTCCCACCGCAGCCAGCTGAGTGTGCTTGTGGAAAAACCAGAAGATCAGGAAAGCTGGTAAAGGATGAGGCAGAAGCTGAGATTCATCTCATGTGAAGCCCAGAATAGCCACAGGCTTCCCAAACACTGGCTGGGAATTGAGGGAGCTGTGTTTTAACTGGGATTCAAGTCTGAATTGATGTGGGAAGAAACCCCCCCCAGGCTTTGCATGATTTAAATGCTCTCTGTGCCCTGACACCCCCTGCTCTTGCTTGCCCCCCAGGTGGATCGTTACACGCTGCGCAACGGGCGGCACATCATCCTGCTGGCTGAGGGCAGGCTGGTCAACCTGGGCTGTGCCATGGGCCACCCCAGCTTTGTTATGAGCAACTCCTTCACCAACCAGGTGCTGGCACAGATCGAGCTGTGGACCCACAGTGACAAATACTCTGTGGGAGTCCATTTTCTGCCAAAGAAGGTGAGTTGGAATAGTGAGTTGTGGGGTTTTAAGGAAGCCAACTTCAGCTGTGATGGTGAGGATTGGTTTCATTTGTGCTGGAGTTGGTTTTCCTACTGTGTATTGTTGAAAGGAGCTTCTTTCCCTCATTGAATGCTTGGCTGTGGTCTTGCTGAATCTGAAGTGGGCTGATTTTGTGCAGAACTGGGACTTGTCTGTCACCTGCGATAGCAAGGTCACTTTTTTGCTTGACCTGAGGTTCCTTCCGTAAGGTGCTGGGAAGTCCGGTGCTCCCTCAGGGTAGTCAGAGAGCTTCTCCCAACCAACTTGTGCCTTCTGCTGAATGTCAGCATTTACACCAAGCCTATCCAGCAGCAAAGTCTGGTGGGGCAGAGTTGAAGCTGGATTGAAAGCAGGGATTGCTTGTACTGTGAGAGTGTACTGTGTGGGAGAGTCTGGGTCCCATTTGCACCTGAGCAGACCTTACCACAATCTGATCCTAACAGCTTCACAAAATCTTGACAGATTCCCTTGGATTTTCCTTTAACTTTTAAACTTACCTGAGCATTCTTTGTTCTTGAAAAAATCTGGATCATGTCAACTTGCAAGTTCCTTTTATAGAACTAACATGGTTTTAATTTTCCCAAACATGCCTGAACATTTTGAATGGTCATTGGAAAAGATGCCTGAGTTAAATCTCACTGCCTTTAGAATGCAACCAGGTGTGTGACTAAATGTGAAAGTACTTTTCATTTAGGAAGTAGAATGTGTATGTTTGGGGTTACTTATGAGTTGTTTGAAGGACTTAGGCTTCCAAAACCATCTGCTAATGCTCAAGCAAAGCATGCAAGTGTAGGAGTTGATCAGCAAGTTGACACATCATCTTCAAAGGAAAAGGTTTGTTGACAGCTCTCTTGAAAATGAGAGTCCAGTGTTGCTAATAAAATGTAGTTTCATCCTCTTTCTGAATAGTAATTTTTAGTAAGTGTACCTGAGCTGGAAGTAAGAAGTAGTGCCCAGGTCAGCTGCTCACAGAGCTGCCTGCCTTTGGAGCATGTGGCAGAGATCTTTTCAGGTTCATACACTGATAAAAATCGTTTTGCCCTCTGTGCTCCATAGAGAATTTCAAAGAATAAAGCAATCACCTTGACAGAATGAACACAAGATGGGCAGAAGAGTGTTCTCTGAGAAATTTCTGGCTGGTAGCTTCCTTGGTCTGGGTACTAGGTTTGTAAATGTAAAATTTAAGAACTACCAAGTACCTGATACTGCAATGGCCTTGACTGCAGGAATATAATTTTGATGACTGGCCATTACAAACATGCACACATTTTTGCAATGTGTGTTCCTGGAAATCTAGGCAAACTGTTTTGTCCTTATCTTGGCACCAAATCTATCCTTCCTTATGCTCAGCTGTCTGATTTTAAGGCCAGAATGCCAGCTTACCTTCATCTAAATCTGTGTAGCTTTTTAGCTTAAATCTTGAAGTCCCTAAACAAGCAGCTGTGAAAACTTCTCTCTGCTGCAGCTTGAGAACCTGATGTGGGCAGTGTCAGGGACTCAGCTCCTTTTCAACTGGGTATAATCTGTCTTGAACTTGCCGGGAATGCACCTATCAGATCTTCACATGTCAGCCTAGTTAACCAGATATGTATTTAATTTTTAATCCTCTTTTTTTCCTGACAGGATCTACTAACTAATCCTTGTTTCCCTCCTAAACACAATCCTTCTAGTTAGCTTTTCTTTCTGTTGTGATTTGAAACATTTGTGACTCTTATGCAGTGTTCAGTAGTTTTCATGGTTCACTTCCACATTCTTCAACCAGTTCATCTTATGTTTTTAATTTTGTCTTGTACATCTTGGGCTGTGCTGGTTCTCAAGAGATGTTGGCAGCTCTACTCTGAGCAGGTTGAGCTGCAGTGAATTGTACTTAGTACAGATGTGGCTTTTTACCTGGTTTTGGCATTACTTCAGAGTTGTTGCTTGTTGCCACACTCCCTTTGAGTGGGAAATCTAGAACTAGTTATTGAAACATTTAGGACATGCTGGTTCACACAAGCTGAAGATCTGGTCCTTGATTGTTTTGTTGGTTTATTGCCCTTCAAATATATTGCAAAGTCAACATCTGTTCAACTAGTGTGGAAGAAACACTGCTGGTCTTTCCCATGCTGCTGGAATTCAGACTTGCCTTATCTGTTTCCTGAGCAATGATTACTGATATTTTTTCAGGAATTACAGATGATGGTCAAACTTGTCCTTCTGCTGTAAATAAGCAGCACCTGATCCTTTCTTAGTGCTGTCAACTTGCCTTATCTGTTTCCTGAGCAGTGATTACTGGTATTTTTGCAGGAATTACAAATGATGGTCAAACTTGTCCTTCTGCTGTAACTAAGCAGCACCTGATCCTTTCTTAGTGCTGTCCTTCTGTCTTTGAATAGCCTTTATGACTGTACATTCCCTTCTGGCACAGCAGCTGCTTTGCCATTTTCCTTGTTTTCTGACTCATCTGTACCTGTTTCCTGTAGCACTTCACTGTCTTGTAACTTTATGCATCTTTCAATCCCTTGAGTTTGTGTGTCCCTCACACCTCTGGGATAAAGCACATCAACATTTCTGAGCCTCTGTCCTACAGCCCACCTTGGCTCTGTACTTCATCAAGACAATGCCAATAGATCCTAGTAATTCTGGAATGAATTTCTTAACACTTGTGCCCCTAAGATAGGATATCTGGAAAGGAGATGGATTCTTTCCAGTATTGGAACTGCTGTAAAATTGTAAGATAATAATATAATACATCAAGTGTCTGTAGTGGAAACATGACCAGAGCTTGACTGTTCTACCAGCCTGAATATTCTTATCTCTGAATATTTTAACCTGCTCTTTCCTTGTTGAGTGGATGGGAATGTGTAAATGTGACTGGAATGGGCTTGATTATATGGAGTTGTCCATCTCACTTAAGCTTAATTTGACCCTCTCCAAAGCATGGGGCTCTTCCATCTGTACCCAGTTCTGTGCTCAGGCAGCTGAGGTGGGTTGGCAGGAAACCTGCTGTGTCCGTCTGTCCCTTCTTCCTCGGAGTTGCTGGTGGTTTTCACACATTCATTTCTCACTGTTGACCAGGATTTCCTGAACCTACAAGACCCTATTCTAATATTCTTGTCTCAATACTTTGTTTTCCAGCTGGATGAGGCTGTGGCTGCTGCTCACCTGGATAAGCTGTGTGTGAAGCTGACGAAGCTGAGTGACAAGCAGGCCAAGTACCTTGGCTTACCGAGAGACGGGCCCTTCAAGGCAGACCACTACAGATACTGAGCAGGTGGCACCACCCAAAGACCAAACTGCAGGGATACAACCTTCCAAAGCTCTTGTGTGTTCTGGGATTCTGAGAACAAACCCTTTGCCCTTTTCCTCTCACTTTACTAAGGAAGCTTCAGGGCCTTTTTTGTTAGTGAAGAAAGATCACTCTGACTCTTGGAATTAGAATTGGTTACTTAGCTAATGTCATGGTGAGAAGGATCCTATGCACCTTTTATTGACTTTAATGTCCAAATAAGGGAGCACAACAGGAGCCTGCTGAAGGACAATGCATAGCACTGTCAAACATCTGGCTACAGTCCCTTTGAACAGGCTAAGCAGTGAGATGGGGAAGTGTCTACAGAGAGATGCTTTCTGCCAATGCCCTGCTCTAATTAGCTGACCCTTGTTAGGAGGCTGGCACTGTCAAGCTTCTCTCCACAGAGGTGCCCTAGCTGAAATGCATGTTGTGAAACTGGAAGAAGCAGTGAGGAGTACAGGTGGCTTGGTCTCCTTTAAAATGAGTTGAATCTCCTACTTGGAGATTAGAGCTGGAGGTTTCTTCTGTGTTAATTTACTCCATTGGTTTTGGTCAGAACAAAGACCCTTCTGTGCTTCCATACCAACTTGGGGAGAGGTGAGATGAGTGACTCTTTTTATAGCAGCCTTCTGGTGTGTTGTGAAGGGCTGAGAAGGGATGGTTAGGTTTAGGGACCTTGTTTGATCCTCTGAAAACACCAGCAGCACACTTCCACCCCCAACTTGTTTCTTCTCAGTTGTCATGTCTGCTCTGTCTTGTTTGTCACTGACTCAAAGTGCTTTTATTAAAGATCTGACTGTGGCCTGACTTGTTTTGTATAGTGCGATGCTTTGAATTTTGCCATGGATTTGTTTACTTTTGTGTAATCCTTGAACAGCTGCAAGTTTTAGTGCTTCCACATGGGTTTCCCTCAAGGCAAAAGCCAGTGCTGGGGCCAGCCAAGCCCTGCATCATGTACATGGGAAAAGCTGCTCCTCAGGTTATTTAAATATTTGAAGGGCTGAATCTCACCAGAAAGAGAAACTTTTCCTCTGACCTCACTGATTTCTTGTTGTATGTGTCGTGGAAGTCCTCTCTTGCCACTGTCTCTGCAGGCCACCTTTGTTCCTGCCTGTGAGATGGAAGGTCTGGTGTGATGTTAAACATGGATGAAGTGCTCACAGGTTCATGTGCAAGCACCAGGTGTGGTGTGTGAGCAATTAAAACAGGTGGTGTGGAGAATGACCTGTTGGAGGAGGCAAAAAAAGGGATGAGTTAATAAGATGTTGCTCAGTATGCAACTGATTCCATTGGTTTCCTTTGCATCAACCTCTAAAAAGCACCGATTCTAACTGAAATTGGGTCCCACAAATCTGAAGGGTATCATCCTTTACAGTGATGCACACTGAGCCCCAGTCAGACACACACAGTTCCAGCACACATGTAAGTGGAGGTGCTGGTCAGCTTGTGGCAGATGTAGCTGTGTGTGGCACAGAGGAATGGTGAGAGAACATGGGATTGTAGTAGAACAAATGCAATAGAAAACCAAGGACTGGTTGTCCTCCTTATTCTTCATTGTTTTCTTCTGGCTGGGCTTTCGCTTCCCAAAAATGCATTTCTTAGCTGAGTATCTGCTATCCTGAAGTACAGGGTTGTAAATTGTGCTGTTGGACTTGGATCATGGATTCATGGAATAATTTAGTTAAGACAGGCCTCCTGGAGGTCTCTGGTTCATCCCTGTCCTCATACCATGGCCAGGCAGGTCAGGCTGGAGATGAGCTTGCAAAGATGACCTTCAGTTGTCTGGAGATAGAGATCACATCACCTCCTTGGGCTTGTCACTGGGTATTTGACTACCCCCTAGGTGAAAATATTTCCTGAAAGGGTTGTCAGGCCCTGGAACAGGTTGCCCAGGTATTTAAAAGCTGTCAATGTGGTGCTGAGGGACAGGGTTTGGTGGTGACCTCTACAGTGCTGGGTTAATGGTTGCACTGGATGATCTCAAAGGTCTTTTCCAACCCAAATTATTTTATGATTCCTAGGAAGTCTGGTAAGTACTAGGCTCAGGGCAGCAGCTTCTCAGTTTCTGAAAACATTTCCAGTGAGATTCTGTGTGCAAATCCATGCCTGGAGAGCCCAGTGATAGTTCATGTTGTTTAGCCCCTGTTCAAACTCTGAGCACACACACCATGATGCCATAGACTAGTCAGGGAAGTGGCCAAGCACCAGCAGCTTGACCAGGTCTGAAACATCTCTGCTTTGCAAGGCCCTGGGCCAGGGCACTAAAGCATCACTGCCAGAAGGAGGTGTCTGGTGACTTCCTAGCATCTTCGTTGATCAAGCTCACAAAAACCTGATTGGCTGCTGAAAGTCCAGTAGTTTGAGCAAGTTAGCAATGTGGGAATTTGACCTGAAATGTGGTTTGAGTTAAGAAAATATAAAATTTGTCTTTGGAGTATGTTCTGCTAGATCTTTATTCCTTGAAGAGGACTAGATCAAAGACAGACCCTAACAAAACCCTTGGCAGATTTTCTTCCTCCCACTCCCTGCAGTGTCATTGTGGTTAGTGCTGTGGTTAGAAATGCTATGCCCAGTACCTGTCAACAGTCCAGTGTGTGAATGGGCAGCATTAATGCAAGAGGGTGTTTGATGGATTTATTTAGCTGTTACTCTGCAACCACTCTTGAGGTAGAGCTCAGCAGCCTCTCATCCTAAATGGGCTCATCTTACCTCTTGCTGGGTGAGCTGTGCTGCAGCCAAACTCGTGTGTTGCTTCAGTTTGAACTCTTCCTCAAGGGCAGTTCTGAAAAACCTCTCCAGTATTTCTGTTTTAGCTTTCCAGAATGGATGTAAGACTTTGAAAGATGATCTTTGGAGCAGCAGATTTCCTTTAACAATGTCTTTTGTTCTCATGTCTGGATTTGTCAACAGGTGTCTGATCCTTATTGAAGGAAAGTGTGCCTGTGGCCAGGAAAGCCACCAGCATCCTGGCTTGTGTCAGGAATAGCGTGGCCAGCAATTCTAGGGATAGTTCCCCCTGTGCTGGGCACTGCTGAGGCTGCACCTCCAATCCTGGGGTCAGTTCTGGGCCCCTCAGGACAAGAAGGACATGGAGGGGCTGGAGCGTGTCCAGAGAAGGGCAGTGGAGCTGGGGAAGGGGCTGGAGCACAAGTGTGATGAGGAGCAGCTGAGGGAGCTGGGGGTGTCCAGCCTGGAGACAAGGAGCTGAGGGGAGACCTGCTGGCTCTGAACTGCCTGAGAGGAGGTTGGAGCCAGGGGGGTCGGGCTCTGCTCCCCAGGAACAAGGGGCAGAACAAGAGCAAATGGCCTCAAGTTGTGCCAGGGGAGGTTTAGATTGTGTATTAGGATGAATTTCTTTACTGAAAGAGTGGTCAGGCCCGGTACATGCTGTGCAGGGAGTCCCCATCCCTGGAAGGATTTCCAAGCTGTGTAGATGTGGAGCTGAGGGACATGGGTCAGTGGTGGCCTTGGCAGGGCTGGGCTAATGGTTGGACCTTATGATCTTAAAGGTCTTTTCTAACCTGAAGGATTCTGTGATTCACAGACTCTGTGAATCTCTACTCTGATCTTAAGTGTCTTTTCCAAAGTAAATGATTCTATGAAATCACTCAGCCTTGATTTTTATTGGCAAGAGCACGTCTGCTGTCCAAGAGTTTCACTCATTTACAACAAATTTTTGTTTTTAATCTGTGTGCAATCAGTTCAGCATTCAGCCTAGCCTGAGGTTGAGCATCTTGATTCCCT